TGTCCGAGTGGTTAAGAGATGGACTCGAAATCCATTGGGGTTTTCCCGCATAGGTTCGAATCCTGTCGCTGTCGTTTTGAACCACAAAAGAGTTTGTGAAAAAAAAACTGAGTCATGTTGTGTTTTTCAGACGCTCAAGTAATTTAATTAAATATTGTGGCAGCGTGGTCCGAGTGGTTAAGGAGATGGACTTGAAATCCATTGGGGTTTCCCCGCATAGGTTCGAATCCTGTCGCTGTCGTTTTGAACCACAAAAGAGTTTGTGAAAAAAAACTGAGTCCATGTGTGTTTTTCAGAAGCTCAAAGTAATTTAATTAAATATTGGGGCAGCGTGTCCGAGTGGTTAAAGGAATATGAACTCGAAATCTATTGGGGTTTCCCCGCCATAGGTTCGAATTCTGTCGCTGTCGTTTTGAACCACAAAAGAGTTTGTGAAAAAAAAACTGAGTCATGTTGTGTTTTCAGACGCTCAAAGTAATTCAATTAAATATTGTGGCAGCGTGCCGAGTGGTTAAGGAGATGGATTTTGAAATCCCAGTTGGGGGGGTCCTGCCGCTGTCGTTTTGAACCACAAAAAAGTTTGTGAAAAAAAAACTGAGTCATGTGTGTTTTCAGAAGCTCAAAGTAATTTAATTAAATATTGTGGCAGCGTGTCCGAGTGGTTAAGGATATGGACTCGAAATCTATTAGGGTTTCCCCGCATAGGTTGTCGCTGTCGTTCTGAACCACAAAAGAGTTTGTGAAAAAAAAACTGAGTCATGTTGTGTTTTTCAGACGCTCAAAGTAATTTAATTAAATATTGTGGCAGCGTGTCCGAGTGGTTAAGGAGATGGACTCGAAATCCATTGGGGTTTTCCGGCATAGGTTCGAATCCTGTCGCTGTCGTTTTGAACCACAAAAGAGTTTGTGAAAAAAAAACTGAGTCATGTTGTGTTTTTCAGACGCTCAAAGTAATTTAATTAAATATTGTGGCAGCGTGTCCGAGTGGTTAAGGAGATGGACTTGAAATCCATTGGGGTTTCCCCGCATAGGTTCGAATCCTGTCGCTGTCGTTTTGAACCACAAAAGAGTTTGTGAAAAAAAAAAACTGAGTCATGTTGTGTTTTCAGACGCTCAAAGTAATTTAATTAAATATTGTGGCAGCGTGTTCGAGTGGTTAAGGAAATGGATTTGAAATCCATTGGGGTTTCCCTGCATAGGTTTGAATCCTGCCGCTGTCGTTTTGAACCACAAAAAAGTTTGTGAAAAAAAAACTGACAGACGGTCAAAGTAATTTTAATTAAATATTGTGGCAGCGTGTCCGAATGGTTAAGAAGATGGACTCGAAATCCATTGGGGTTTCCCCGCATAGGTTCGAATCCTGTCGCTGTCGTTTTGAACCACAAAAGAGTTTGTGAAAAAAAAACTGACAGACGCTCAAAGTAATTTTAATTAAATATTGTGGCAGCGTGTCCGAGTGGTTAAGGAGATGGACTTGAAATCCATTGGGGTTTCCCCGCATAGGTTCGAATCCTGTCGCTGTCGTTTTGAACCACAAAAGAGTTTGTGAAAAAAAAACTGAGTCATGTGTGTTTTCAGTAATTTAATTAAATATTGTGGCAGCGTGTCCGAGTGGTTAAGGAGATGGACTTGAAATCCATTGGGGTTTCCCCGCATAGGTTCGAATCCTGTTGCTGTCGTTTTGAACCACAAAAGAGTTTGTGTAAAAAAAACTGAGTCATGTGTGTTTTTCAGAAGCTCAAAGTAATTTAATTAAATATTGTGGCAGCGTGTCCGAGTGGTTAAGGATATGGACTCGAAATCTATTGGGGTTTCCCTGCATAGGTTCGAATCCTGTCGCTGTCGTTTTGAACCACAAAAGAGTTTGTGAAAAAAAAACTGAGTCATGTTGTGTTTTCAGACGCTCAAAGTAATTTAATTAAATATTGTGGCAGCGTGTCCGAGTGGTTAAGGAGATGGATTTGAAATCCATTGGGGTTTCCCTGCATAGGTTTGAATCCTGCTGCTGTCGTTTTGAACCACAAAAGAGTTTGTGAAAAAAAAAACTGAGTCATGTTGTGTTTTTCAGAAGCTCAAAGTAATTTAATTAAATATTGTGGCAGCGTGTCCGAGTGGTTAAGGAGATGGATTTGAAATCCATTGGGGTTTCCTTGCATAGGTTTGAATCCTGCCGCTGTCGTTTTGAACCACAAAAAAGTTTGTGAAAAAAAAACTGACAGACGCTCAAAGTAATTTTAATTAACTATTGTGGCAGCGTGTCCGAGTGGTTAAGGAGATGGACTCGAAATCCATTGGGGTTTCCCCGCATAGGTTCGAATCCTGTCGCTGTCGTTTTGAACCACAAAAGAGTTTGTGAAAAAAAAACTGACAGACGCTCAAAGTAATTTTAATTAAATATTGTGGCAGCGTGTCCGAATGGTTAAGGAGATGGACTTGAAATCCATTGGGGTTTCCCCGTATAGGTTCGAATCCTGTCGCTGTCGTTTTTTTTGAACCACAAAAGAGTTTGTGAAAAAAAAACTGAGTCATGTGTGTTTTTCAGAAGCTCAAAGTAATTTAATTAAATATTGTGGCAGCGTGTCCGAGTGGTTAAGGAGATGGATTTGAAATCCATTGGGGTTTCCTTGCATAGGTTTGAATCCTGCCGCTGTCGTTTTGAACCACAAAAAAGTTTGTGAAAAAAAAAACTGACAGACGCTCAAAGTAATTTTAATTAAATATTGTGGCAGCGTGTCCGAGTGGTTAAGGAGATGGACTTGAAATCCATTGGGGTTTCCCCGCATAGGTTCGAATCCTGTCGCTGTCGTTTTGAACCACAAAAGAGTTTGTGAAAAAAAAACTGAGTCATGTGTGTTTTCAGTAATTTAATTAAATATTGTGGCAGCGTGTCCGAGTGGTTAAGGAGATGGACTTGAAATCCATTGGGGTTTCCCCGCATAGGTTCGAATCCTGTTGCTGTCGTTTTGAACCACAAAAGAGTTTGTGTAAAAAAAACTGAGTCATGTGTGTTTTTCAGAAGCTCAAAGTAATTTAATTAAATATTGTGGCAGCGTGTCCGAGTGGTTAAGGATATGGACTCGAAATCTATTGGGGTTTCCCTGCATAGGTTCGAATCCTGTCGCTGTCGTTTTTGAACCACAAAAGAGTTTGTGAAAAAAAAACTGAGTCATGTTGTGTTTTCAGACGCTCAAAGTAATTTAATTAAATATTGTGGCAGCGTGTCCGAGTGGTTAAGGAGATGGATTTGAAATCCATTGGGGTTTCCCTGCATAGGTTTGAATCCTGCTGCTGTCGTTTTGAACCACAAAAGAGTTTGTGAAAAAAAAAAACTGAGTCATGTTGTGTTTTCAGACGCTCAAAGTAATTTAATTAAATATTGTGGCAGCGTGTCCGAGTGGTTAAGGAGATGGATTTGAAATCCATTGGGGTTTCCCTGCATAGGTTTGAATCCTGCTGCTGTCGTTTTGAACCACAAAAGAGTTTGTGAAAAAAAAAACTGAGTCATGTTGTGTTTTCAGACGCTCAAAGTAATTTAATTAAATATTGTGGCAGCGTGTTCGAGTGGTTAAGGAAATGGATTTGATTGGGGTTTCCCTGCATAGGTTTGAATCCTGCCGCTGTCGTTTTGAACCACAAAAAAGTTTGTGAAAAAAAAACTGACAGACGCTCAAAGTAATTTTAATTAAATATTGTGGCAGCGTGTCCGAATGGTTAAGGAGATGGACTTGAAATCCATTGGGGTTTCCCCGTATAGGTTCGAATCCTGTCGCTGTCGTTTTGAACCACAAAAGAGTTTGTGAAAAAAAAACTGAGTCATGTGTGTTTTTCAGAAGCTCAAAGTAATTTAATTAAATATTGTGGCAGCGTGTCCGAGTGGTTAAGGAGATGGACTCGAAATCCATTGGGGTTTCCCCGCATAGGTTCGAATCCTATCGCTGTCGTTTTGAACCACAAAAGAGTTTGTGAAAAAAAAACTGAGTCATGTTGTGTTTTTCAGACGCTCAAAGTAATTTAATTAAATATTGTGGCAGCGTGTCCGAGTGGTTAAGGAGATGGATTTGAAATCCATTGGGGTTTCCCTGCATAGGTTTGAATCCTGTCGCTGTCGTTTTGAACCACAAAAGAGTTTGTGAAAAAAAAAAACTGAGTCATGTTGTGTTTTCAGAAGCTCAAAGTAATTTAATTAAATATTGTGGCAGCGTGTCCGAGTGGTTAAGGAGATGGATTTGAAATCCATTGGGGTTTCCCTGCATAGGTTTGAATCCTGCCGCTGTCGTTTTGAACCACAAAAAAGTTTGTGAAAAAAAAACTGACAGACGCTCAAAGTAATTTTAATTAAATATTGTGGCAGCGTGTCCGAGTGGTTAAGGAGATGGACTCGAAATCCATTGGGGTTTCCCCGCATAGGTTCGAATCCTGTCGCTGTCGTTTTGAACCACAAAAGAGTTTGTGAAAAAAAAACTGAGTCATGTGTGTTTTCAGTAATTTAATTAAATATTGTGGCAGCGTGTCCGAGTGGTTAAGGAGATGGACTTGAAATCCATTGGGGTTTCCCCGCATAGGTTCGAATTTTGTCGCTGTCGTTCTGAACCACAAAAGAGTTTGTGAAAAAAAACTGAGTCATGTTGTGTTTTTCAGACGCTAAAAGTAATTTAATTAAATATTGTGGCAGCGTGTCCGAGTGGTTAAGGAGATGGACTTGAAATCCATTGGGGTTTTCCCGCATAGGTTCGAATCTTGTCACTGTCGTTTTGAACCACAAAAGAGTTTGTGAAAAAAAAACTGAGTCATGTTGTGTTTTTCAGACGCTCAAAGTAATTTAATTAAATATTGTGGCAGCGTGTCCGAGTGGTTAAGGAGATGGACTTGAAATCCATTGGGGTTTCCCCGCATAGGTTCGAATCCTGTCGCTGTCGTTTTGAACCACAAAAGAGTTTGTGTAAAAAAAACTGAGTCATGTGTGTTTTTCAGAAGCTCAAAGTAATTTAATTAAATATTGTGGCAGCGTGTCCGAGTGGTTAAGGATATGGACTCGAAATCTATTGGGGTTTCCCCGCATAGGTTCGAATTCCTGTCGCTGTCGTTTTGAACCACAAAAGAGTTTGTGAAAAAAAAACTGAGTCATGTTGTGTTTTCAGACGCTCAAAGTAATTTAATTAAATATTGTGGCAGGCGTGTCCGAAGTGGTTAAGGAGATGGATTTGAAATCCATCCCTGCATAGGTTTGAATCCTGCCGCTGTCGTTTTGAACCACAAAAAAGTTTGTGAAAAAAAAACTGACAGACGCTCAAAGTAATTTTAATTAAATATTGTGGCAGCGTGTCCGAGTGGTTAAGGAGATGGACTCGAAATCCATTGGGGTTTCCCCGCATAGGTTCGAATCCTGTCGCTGTCGTTTTGAACCACAAAAGAGTTTGTGAAAAAAAAACTGAGTCATGTGTGTTTTCAGTAATTTAATTAAATATTGTGGCAGCGTGTCCGAGTGGTTTAAGGAGATGGATTTGAAATCCATTGGGGTTTCCCTGCATAGGTTTGAATCCTGCCGCTGTCGTTTTGAACCACAAAAAAGTTTGTGAAAAAAAAACTGACAGACGCTCAAAGTAATTTTAATTAAATATTGTGGCAGCGTGTCCGAGTGGTTAAGGAGATGGACTCGAAATCCATTGGGGTTTCCCCGCATAGGTTCGAATCCTGTCGCTGTCGTTTTGAACCACAAAAGAGTTTGTGAAAAAAAAACTGAGTCATGTGTGTTTTCAGTAATTTAATTAAATATTGTGGCAGCGTGTCCGAGTGGTTAAGGAGATGGACTTGAAATCCATTGGGGTTTTCCCGCATAGGTTCGAATCCTGTCGCTGTCGTTTTGAACCACAAAAGAGTTTGTGAAAAAAAAAACTGAGTCATGTTGTGTTTTTCAGACGCTCAAAGTAATTTAATTAAATATTGTGGCAGCGTGTCCGAGTGGTTAAGGAGATGGACTTGAAATCCATTGGGGTTTCCCTGCATAGGTTCGAATCCTGTCGCTGTCGTTTTGAACCACAAAAGAGTTTGTGTAAAAAAAACTGAGTCATCTGTGTTTTTCAGAAGCTCAAAGTAATTTAATTAAATATTGTGGCAGCGTGTCCGAGTGGTTAAGGATATGGACTCGAAATCTATTGGGGTTTCCCCGCATAGGTTCGAATCCTGTCGCTGTCGTTTTGAACCACAAAAGAGTTTGTGAAAAAAAAACTGAGTCATGTTGTGTTTTCAGACGCTCAAAGTAATTTAATTAAATATTGTGGCTGATCTGCCGAGATATACCCGACTAGATTTTTGTTCCGGAAATGTGAGCTTGTGGCTTTGTCCTTTGTTCTAGTGGGTTGGTCCTTAGGTTCATCGCTCGTAAGGAACACGAGTGGCTGTTTGATGTCTCCCAGATTTCTTCGTGGCGCCTTGCGACTGGTTCTTATTCCTCTCGCTAGTCTCATTATTCTCTTGGGTGGAACCTTCTTCTTCGTGTCTTGGACAACGTCGTCGAGAGTGCGTAGTTGGCACAACGAGTTTTGCGCGACCTTAGATGAGGTGCTCTCGTCACTGGACCCCTCCACATCGTCATAAACATCAGAATCGTGTTTAGCGGACATTCTGCTCTTCGCTCCCTTGCCTAAGCGATTGTTAGATGAGTTCAAATTAATTAGATGTTAATTTGAAGATTGTTCTAACACTGATTGCTTTTCGGCAGTTCAGAGTTTGGCAGTTGGATGGAAGTCCAACCTCGACTGACGTGTTTGTTGTCTGTTTTACCGTTCATGATTAGATCTAAAAAGTCCCCTTCTAGCTAAAAATGCTACTAAAGAATTTAACAATAAGTGCGGCGGCAGTCGCTCAAATCGTCGCCAATATTTAACCCATTTTGGCAGACAATAGATTGATCTACTACGCATCCATAACATAATTAACTAGACGAGCTTCCGACACTTTGCAAAGTAAATCTGGGGGATTCACTTGCTCCGCTACTCTAATCGCAGCGTTTACACTCTCACTCAAAGAAGAACTTGACGAATCGTTCAAGGGCGATCCTTACATCAATGCTCCCCAGAGTGTAAAAAGCACGCCTGTACGCTATCCAGACGGCTGCATGCCGGTTCTTCTACTACCAGATGATGATTCTCCCTCCTCTGGACGTTCTTCTGCTTCTTCGAAGTTCATTTCATCTTCAACACTCTCCTCTACGCGTCTCCTCTTTGTCCTGTCGACTTCGGGTGCTTTGCTCTCTGGGATCCACTGAGCTTTCGGGTACATCTGTTGCATCTCTTCTCTCATTAAATGAGGCACAAATGTTGTCAATAATTTGCATTGCTCGAGAGGTACTACCCTTTCTTTGCCCTTTGTCCACAGAGGCACTACGACCAGCGCTTTATCAAGAACTTTTATAACTCGACTTGGGAAGGATCTTATCGCTTGATACTTGTTTTCTCCAGTGATATGAGGTGTAGCTCCTCTTTCTGTCTTACTCAGTCGGTAAGTTACGATGTCGCCAATTTGGTATGTTGGTGATTTTCTCATTCCCATTTCTTCGTCAGCCGCGTCTTCCATTGCGCTAAGCTGAGATAGAATTAACTGCGCACTCTTATAGGTTTTGAGTTGCGTCAGTCGGCTTTCTTCACTCCCGTTTAGCTCGTAGTCGTCGAGCCCGGGTAGATGAAGATCTACTCCGAATGTTAGAGATGCCGGGGGAATCACCAATCCTTCGACTTGGCGTAACATTGTACAGCAGGGTAGCGTTTGAAACGACCTCTTCAACTTCAGTATCAGTCTCCCAAGGGTAAGTCTTTAACGCGGTTTCCAAAATCCGATGAGCGCTTTCATTCACACCGTTGCCTTGCGGGTACTCCGATGATGAATAATGCAATTTCGCCTTCAGAATTTCCTCAACGTAGAGCTTGAAGTTTAAAGCGGTGAAAGTGGGGTCTCGATCACATAAAACTGCCTGAGGTGCCCCAAACCGATTCACCCACTGATCTCGTAGACATCGCCTCGCTGCTGGAGTTTGGATGGAATCTAGGACCACGGTTACCATGTAACGAGAATAATGGTCGACAATTACTAAAATCCAAACTTTTCTTCCATTAAACATCCGAGGTCCAATGTAGTCTAATGAGACAAGTTGGAAAAGCATGGGCTTTTCTAATGCTCCTTTCACTCCTCCGGTGCTCCGTAAAGGCTTTATGGCGTTGCACATGGGACAAGCTCCGATGAAACTGACTACTTCTTCCTGCATGCCCGGCCACCAGACGTGTTTTCTCAAACGGTTCACCGTTCTAGTCACTCCCTGGTGTCCTCCGTATTTGGACATGTGGAACCAAGCAAGAATTTGTGCACGGTACTTCCGTGGCACGTAGATTTTCTTCACTCTCCGTCCGTAGGGGTATATCGTGGAACCAATCTATAGTTCCTTTCTTCATCTCTTTCTCCTCTTTCATTGCTTCCTCCTTAAATTCTACCGGATTCGGCAACTCGAAAAGGTCTCCAGCTTTGTGGACAAGATGAAGAACTTCTGGTACATACACGTTTTGCTGTAATTCCTCGTCTTCTAGAGAATACGATCTACTCAACCAGTCTGCGATGTTATTCGATTCGCCTCTGATATGCACGACCCTCTGGTTGGTATTCTGACAATCTTAGCGCCCAACGTCGCACTTTTGGAGAATCGATGTTCAACAAGTGCTGTAAGGACTTATGATCGCTATACACTAAAGGTTTGCTCCCCTTTATGTACATTTCGTAATTCTCACACGCCCACACAATTGCAAATAGCTCTCTCTCCGTGGCTGACCAATTTCGCTGTCCTTCGCTCAGTTTCTTACTCGCGAACCCCACGAAATCTAAGCCTGAGTTTGCATCATTTACTTGTGCTAGAGCGGCGGCGACCGCTATGTCTGAAGCATCTGTGAATTATTATGAAGGGTTTTGACCAGTCCGGCATTGTTAGGTACACGGCGTTTGCAATTGCCATTTTCGCCTTTTGAAATGCTTCTTCCTCATTTGCTCCCCAGGCGTACTTGACGTACTTTCCGGTGAGGCGAGTGAGTGGCTCCATCACTTCTGAGAAGCGAGGAATGTAAGCTCTCAAGAAGTTCGCGGCGGCGCAAAAGCTTAGAAGGGACCTTTTAGTAGTAGGTGCCTCAGCCATGACTAAACCTTGCAACTTTGCTGGATCGGGTTTTAGCGTCCCCTCAGACACAAGATGGCCCAGATAAAGAGCTTCTTTTGTAAAGAAATGGCTCTTACCGAAGTTTATATAAAACCTCGTTTGCCGCAATATCTCAAAGACTTGCTTCAGTAGCTCTAGATGTTGAGCAATTGATCTAGTGAAAAATTATAATATCATCGATATAAACCGAGACATTTCCATCGTCGATCAAATTTCGCAAAGCCTTTCAATTGCGCGCTGGAATATCGTTGGACTAGTCCTCAGACCGAAAAGGCATCACTTTCCAGACGAATATTCCTCTTTCAGGGACTACGAAGCCGGTGAATTGAACGCTTTCTGGCGTCAACGAGACGTTCCAGAAACCCCAATTAAGGTCTACCAAAGTGAAGTACTTGCATCCGCTCAGCCTTAAGAGCAAGTCTTGTGCATTTGGAACTTGGTAGCCGTCGTCTTCGATTAAAGGAGTTAACATAGCGATAGTCTATGACTAGTCGCCACTTGTCAGAACGAGGCTTAGGAACCAGATGACACTGACTGACCCATTTACAGTCGGGTGCACTTTCGATCACTTTTGCCTTGAGCAGGTCGTCAATTTGCCGGTTCAACTCTTTGCGCAGGTGGATTGGAGTCGGTCTAGCAGCTACTCTTCGTGGTAAGCCCTTTACTCTAATC